TATTCCGAGAATGTCCAATAGATGCTCAGCATTAAGAGCACTTGCTGCTTGTAAACCCCGAGTTTGTTTCTCAGCACCCACATCCCAAGACCCACAAGCATCTCAACTGGAGGTCTGAGGGATCCGATGCTCTCTCTCTCTCTCTCCTGGCCTCCATGGGCATCAGGCACACATGGGGCACACATGCATATATGCAGGCAAACACTCATATACATAATAAAAATCATTTTAAAAAATTAATAAACCTATTGGCAGGCTATGCTTGCAAGGTATATAAAACATAAGTCAACTTTGTGTTTGTACTTGAACCCTTTCTTCAAGAGGGCTCATAATAAATGAAAATGTTCCAAAATCTGAACAAACCCAAGTGTAAAACATTTCTGCCCCTAAGCATCTCAGGTGAAAGGTGTAACCCTGTAGTGAATCCTGAAGAAAAGGGCAGACAAGAACCTGAGTTTTTGTCTAGGAGTACTCAACTATTTCAACATATTTTTGACTTCTTAATAAAAGAAGGAAACATGAAAACAAATGAAGCTATTTTGGACAGAATTATAACAAATTTGTAAAGCCTGCGATGCCCTAAAACTCTAACTTTACGCGGCAATCAGATCTCTAAGCTTCTCACAGTCTTTTCTGGCCTTCACGGAGCAAAGAAACAGTATGTGCCGAATTACTGAAGCATGGCAAACCCTTTACATTTGGGGCTCGTTTAAGTTTAAACAAAACGTGAAGTCTGTAAATACTATAAAATGCAAGTCCCTACTTAAGGAACTTGCTTTCTTCACACCTCAGTAACTGGACTGAACTAGTTTATAAGATCCAGGAGAAGAGGACCATTTTTAATGTTACGTACACTAACCTGACATATAATCAATTCATCATTTCAGAAAAAGAAATGAGTGACTATTTTGGCAGTGTTGGGTAATAGCCTCAGGTCATGAGGAATTGTGTCAGGTTGTCTTTGGCAACAGCCCCGAGCTATAAAGTATTACTTAGCAAGCCCGGATTGATGACCCACACCTTTAATCCCAGTACTAGGGACACAGAGGCCAGTGGATTCTCTGTGAGTTAGAGGCCAGTCTGGTCTACAGAAGGACTTCCAGGACAGCCAGGGCTACATAGTAAGACCCTGTCAGAAATAAACAAACGATGCTTAGTCCTAGCCTGTTTAGTTCCACCACCTGCAGAGACAATATGCACTGGCAGCATAAGCAACTCACCCTGCCAAACCACACACACACACGCACACACACACAGACACACGCAAGCACACATGCGTGTGCACACACACTCACACATATGTGCACGTACATGCACAGCACACACATCCCCAAGCCTCTCTGAATGCACCAACCTTCATCCCAATTATTAACTCCCTTTTAAATACAGGAACTCCTTGAAGCAGCTCTCCTTCCCAGCCAAGCAGCCATTCTCCACTGCAGTGGACATGAAGAGGACAAATGATTTCTCTCTCTTCTCAGTAACAAGGCCAACCAAGAACCGCCCAGTCACACCCTGATTCTATGACAAGACCCCATCCCCCAGAGCCGTCTTGTCCACATGGACGCTCTTTCCCCATAACTGGAGCCTCCCTGAGGGCTGACACCCTAACTGTCTGCACTCCCTGAGTCACCCTTCTTTCCTTCCCCTGCAGTTCATTACCACTCATCCTCTGACGGATTATTCCTAAAAAGACAAACCTAGTCCTGTGAGTCTGACCAAAAGACAAATGCTAATCCCAACTTCTGCCCTCTGCAGTCTCAATCTCACCAAATGAGAGTTCGGTTACCTTCCCTAGACTAGTAGTTAGGTTTTACCATGGGCTCCTGGTCGGGGGACACAGATATTTACTAGCATTTGCAGATACCTTTCCAGGATGGGCTGAGGTCTTCGCAACCACAAGTAAGAGGGCACACAGTTCACACACTACTCTCTAAGATCAATCTTTTGCTTGCCCTCCTCCACACAGACAGGCAATGGCCTTGAGTTCCTCTCTTTGACTACCCAACCTGTCTCCAAATCCCCTGGAAATTCCACTTGTCTTACTGGCCCCAGTCCTCGGGGAAGTAGAGAGGATGAATAGGCCATAAATGTTTCCCGGCTTCACCTTTCCATACTTAAAAAGGCTCCCCTACAATTTCACTCCACATCTCTAGGTCTCACCAAGCTCAAGTTAGCCAGGCTTCAGTTTCCCAGCTCTCGCCATCAGAGAGGCAGACTGTATAGGACCAGAAACAAATTGTACCCACTTGACTCCCAAGCTGTCTCACCAAGTCCCTCCAACAAAGACTACTATACTAGTTTTTACTGCCCAGAGGTAACTGACTAGCCCTTATCCAACCTGGAAGCAACCTTAATGTACCCCTTCTACCACTGACATCACAGTCCCCCTCTAGCAGGATGCAGATGCCCCAAAACTATGACTCTTCCCCTTTTTCCTTTTCACCCTTTCAGAATTGGAATATGTTGGGTAATAGCCTTGAGTCATGAGGAACTACATCAGGCTGTATTAGGTTCTAAGCCAAAAAGAATGGCTTAGCCCCAGACTGACCATTCTATTCAGATCCACCTCCAGAAACAGTATGTCCAGGTAGTAAGCAACTCACCTTGCCAAAGTGTGACAGGGCAAGACACCATTTCTGGTCCTCCATCTTGTATTCTTACTGAGGCCATGTCAGGTTTAACTAGAATTTGATCTCCTTGATGGAGAATCCCAACTCTATTCTAGGAACCCATGGTCAACATGCCCTGGCTAACTTAGCTTAGCTTCTTGTGCAGAACCCCCTCTAGCTAACCACTTAGCTTCTGTTAAACTGCTTGCTTCTCTGAAAAAGCCCTTGCTGCAAGCCAGAACATGCTCTAACACTTGGTCTAAATGGGTGGTGCTATACTGAGGTCCTGAATACATGAGTGTAGTCCCAGCCAGCAAGAATAAAGACTTAACTGGCTATAGACTGTGTCTGAGTGTTCATTTCTGGTTGGTTCCCATAAGAAAACCTCAAAAATGCTGTAAGTTCTTGGTAGATACATACGTGCATGTATGCACAGATGTAAAGTTTTAATTACTGTGCCTAAGAGGTCTATAAAACAAAAATACTTCTAACCTGTAAGCCCCTTAAGGACATATACTTCCTGAAATGCTGGGGGCTATTGTTTATGGAAGATAACAAGACATGTGTTTTAACTCCCCTAAACAAGTTTGTTTGACCAAACTGCACTGGATGTGCTTGATTGTATGCAGGCAGAAAGTGTGCGGGCAGGAAGTACGTCAGAATGTATACTTGCCCCTGCGTGGTTGTAGGTGACAGGGAAGAAGTATGTTAGGATTTATGCTTGCTCCTGATTGGACCTTACAGGAAATACGGTATCTTATAGTTTTTGCTTTATAAGCCTCTGCAAAATGTGACTTGTAGTCATTTTATAGGAGCCAGAGTCTATTATCCTGGCCAGTATTTAATTAAAACTTGCTTCAAATTTGGCTCAAAAAATTGTGGTAGTGGTAACAGTATGTTCCTCAGCCTCTCTAAATGAGTTTAACTTTCATCCTGTGGAAAGGTTGGGGTCAGGCCCATCACTGTCTCAATAAAGCAGTCGTCCGCTTCTCTGCTTTATTTTTCTTACAAACATCAACTTAGGTAAGCTCTTTATGGCATCTTTTCACTTCGAGGCATATGAAAATTTTACTTTTAAGCATATACTAGTACCTGGAGAAATCATATAAGATCTATTTGCCTCCAAGTCCTTCTTTAAAATAAAGAAGCTAAGGGTCTGAGAACGTAGCTTGGTGGTGGACTTTGCCTGGCACACGGGAGGCACCGACACAAGAAACTTATATTTGTTATGCTACTTTCTAGATTTTATAGCTGAAAGATAGCCCCATGATAGCATATTCTGTATGCTGTGAATATGTGTTGCTTTTATTGGTTGATAAATAAAACTGCTTTGGCCTATGGCAAGGCAGAATATAGCTAGGCAGGAAATCCACGCAGAGATGTAGGTAAAGCAGGGGGACTGAGGAAGAAGCTGGCAAGCTGCTGGAACAAGATGTACTAGAGAACAGGTAACACCACAAAGGCACACGGCAATACACAGATTATTAGAAATGGCCTGATTTATATGTACAGTTAGCCAGCAATAGCCTAAGTCATTGGCCAAGCAATTATAATTACTATTAAGCCTCTAAATGATTATTTTATAGCCAGCTGCAGGGAGCAGTAGGCTGGAGAGAATCAGTCCAGTGAGACCGTCGGAACACAGAAAACTTTCAGCTACAGCCCCAAGCTATGAAGAATTGCTTGACCCACTTAGTTTCCCAGCCTGACCACTTAGTTCCACCCCAGAAACAGTATGTCCAGGTAGCACAAGCAACTCTCCTTGCCAAACCACAAAAAAGGCTGTAACTTCCTAGGAGATACAGACATATGTTACGGGAAGTCCTTCCGCCCCTCCAACCAATAGCTGCTGTGATACCAGCCCATTGGGGCATGGTCTCTCTCCCTTTAAAAAAGCGGCTATTTCCTCTGCTAGCTCTCTTCACTTCCTGCTCCTCCGGAGACTAGACTCCCTTCCTGGTTGTGCAGATGGCTGTTGTGATCTGTAAGTTTTTTCCCCATTAAATAAATAACACCCTATTAATCATAACTCCAAACTGGTGTGGCCTTGTTCGTGACTTACGCCTTCAGACATACATAACATTTTATCATAGACTTGAGTCAGAACAGACTTCATTTGATTCTCCGTTTTGTTGCCCCATACTAGGGGTGCTACCTAAGTTCTGAGTCTCTGTTTCCTAAAACACATAAAATGGGGATGAACACTCACTTCTAAAGAGGATGGTGAACATGTGCATAAAGTACACAGATGTGGCTAACAGATGTTGCTTCTTTGTCTTGTCAGTCTGGGCAGCAACCAAAACAACAGAGCGGGAATAAAACTCTTGTTAAGTGGGAACACATCAGAACTTTATGACCTCTTTGTTCATATTAAGAATACAGACACACTCACTTCTGGCAAAGTTGATTGAAAAGAACTTTAGGAGAAAGGGGTCCTTTTTCCGCCTCCTTCATGCTGTGAAGAAACAGGAACAAGGCTGAAGTCAATGGTCCAGGGCTTGAAAGTTCCACCACTAACGGATCCTTTGAAAACATGATCAATGCTTTGTCAGAAATACATAATTTTAAAACAAAATATTATCAAGAATCTTAAAGCTATACTTTATGTAACTCATAGTAACTAAATTGTCTCAAGTGTATTAACTTTTAGTCCTTCATATATAAAATATTTAAAAAGAGAAAATAGGATTAAATGCTGTAAGAGACTGAGTCACTCAATCTGACCATATTGCAGTTGGAACAATGGACCCCAAAGAACTAGGAATTTCCCCGTAATCTCATGCTGGGAAACGGGACCTGTGTCAGCCAGATGGGAAAATTGATTTTACACAGTTCTAATTCCTTGCCAGACCACTTAACAGGATGGGACTGAAGCCCTTGCGTATCCTAGGTCTTCTATTTACACTCTCCTCACTTCAGAACCCCAAAGATGGACACAAGAGTTTGCTGGATCTCTTTGGTCCTTCTTCCCAAATGTGGTCATACTGAATAACTTTTTTTTCCTCCTTTCCATTTTCACTTGGCTCTTTTTTATTTGGTGTATTGAGAAGGACAACTAGTTGGACCTGATATGGAACACAAGTTGTGATTCCCAGGTTGCTAACAATGCCTTGCTTAAAAAAACAAAACAAAAAACCAGTATTTTCAATATCTTTTGCCTTTTACTTAATCGCAAGCCTGGTGAAATCATCAATCCTCAGTTGTTTTGACCTGCAACTTTTTTCTACAAGCAAAATTATGTATCTGCTTGGTATTTGTACAAATTCACAAATAAACACAAATTATATTTACTAGAACTTTACTTTACTGTTGGGTCTCATTTGTTAGAGACAAACGGCTAACCGAGGTGCCTGTCAACAACATATCAGACAGGATGCTGGCCAGCTCTCCCAGCACCACTCAGTACCTGTGCCTCCTCCTGGCACTTTTCACTCTACCCCCTACCCTAAACCTCTCCCTCCCAGGGGCTGGGTTTCCACTTCCTGTGGCTCTTCACCTCTTGGTTAAGCCACCTTAGTCAGCAGCTCCTCTCCTGCTCTCTTTCCCCACCTCAAGGTCTGGTTTAGTCTGTTGGTCATGATCAGCCTGGACTCTGTCTGCATTCTCCCTTACAAAATTCTTCTCCATACTTTAGAAGTCATGTTTTCCTCCTTTTATTTCATTTTTTAAAATTCTAATACTTTCCCCCTTTTACTAATAAAGGAAGGGATGGGGAATTACACGACAGAATGGTATGTTACTTCTTTTAAAGGAGATACAAAGCTCAGTAAATAGCAACTGTGTTAAGGACTAACCCATTTTAGGTCTTTTTCCCCCACCAAGCTTTGCTCTCTTGTTAATCCCTCTCGGCCTCCTGGGAGGTGTGATCCAGAACACTGGACCACACTTCCTAAACTGCTCTCACAAGCTAGCTGTGAACCACACTCTGTCTTCCTGTAACTACTTGCATCATGTGCACATACATACGAAACAATTACTTTTCTATTTTATTTGTGTGGTGTTAGAGACTGAACACATGCTAAGCAAGCACTCACTCACCTTTGAGCTATATACCCAGCCCTGTATTTAAAAAAAAATCAGTTCTGAAGTCTTGCTCAGCTCCCAAGCACACCTGTAACTTAGCCTCTGAAGTACCTAGAATCCCATACAGGAGCAATCACACCCTATGCCTTTTTTATTTATTTTTTTAAGATAAACACAGGGTCTCAGCATGCTGGCTAGGCTGCCTTGAACTGCTGGAACTTGCTTCAGCCTAATTGCCTGGGACTACAAACACAAACACTACACTTGCTCTCCATAACTACTTCTGGCTACTAGTGTCAGCCCTTTCTGGCACAAAGCCATCCAAAATATACATACAATTAAATAAAGTAAGGCAACTACTTATTGTCCTGAGGTAGAAGTTCTCACTATGACGGGTGTGTCAGTAAGGGGTGGTGTAAGAACCTATACAACTTTGGACTTTGGTTAGCTCCGGCACAGAATCTAAAGAAAAGAGGATTTCCTCTAGACAGATGCCATCAGCAGACAGGAATTCTACCACTGACTATCTCGGTCTAATCCACAGAGAGCTAGAGAGGACTCAGGTAGGCCTGCTACAGTGGCTGCCATTCACTCTCATGTTACCCAACGTGGGTATTACGTATTGGGTTTTCTTTTCTTTTTCTTTCTTTTTTTTTCAAGACAGGGTTTTGCTGTAGCTATGGAGCCTGTCCTGGAACTAGTTCTTGTAGACCAGGCTGGCCTTGAACTCAGAGATTCGCCTGCCTCTGCCTCCCAAGTGCTAGGATTAAAGGCATGCGCCATTACTACCCAGCTGGGTGTTGGGTTTTCTAAATGGCAGAGTAAACTTGATAGATAAATTACAAAATGGCCTTACTTTGTTCTTTTTTTGTCCCAGTCTCGGAGACCTAGCGCGAGGTTGCCTGACTGTGGGCCTGAGTAACATGGTCTGACTTTGGGTATTTTAGGCCAGCTTCTGAATGCCAGTGATTGCTCTTCTTGTTATTCTCTTCCTTTCTCATTAGCTTAAAATCCCATCATCAGCCTAGACTTCAACTCCCTTTCCCAGAAGAGCCCGTGAGAAGGCTGCATGGCAGGTGAAGGCACTGCCATCAGGCCCGATGGCCTGAACTCAATCCTCAGGAGCCACACTGGAAAACACAAATCCCCCAAGTTACCCTCTGACCTGCACCTGTGTCATGGCACACATACATACACACCAAATAACTAAACTATTAATAAAAATACTTTAAACCTAGCCAGGCGGTGGTGGCACACACCTTTAATCTCAGCACTCGGGAGGCAGAGGCAGGCGGATCTCTGTGAGTTTGAGGCCTACACGGTGAGTTCAATAACAGCCAGGAATACACAGTGATACCCAGAATCAAGTAAACAAACAAACAAAAAGAAAGAAATTAAACCTTCAGATATTAAATATTTAAATCTAAGTTTAAATAACAGCGACAACAATAAATCCTAAATTTAAATAAACATTACTGTTAGCTACAAGACTCCTAGGTGTTTTGTTCAATAAAAGTTCTGACTTGTTTTCTCTAGTATCTGCAAATAAAAATTGCCTCAATATCTATTTTTTGATTCACAATATTTCTGAACTATAGCATACCTTAAAGTTACAATTTCTGAAAACTTTATCTGATTATTTTTACAATACTTTTGAATTATGTTTTAAAGCCCTCAGACTACAGTCCCATTTGGTAGCTTAGAGAAACAGAAAAGAAATATTTTGACAACAGGCTATTATGTTTCTGTAGCTGTTGTACTTGTTACTCACCAGCTGTGGAGCTGACGAAAGAGAGATCTTGAGTTTGGTGCCGTCCTCTTTTATCTCATTCATCAGTTCAAAGAGAATGTGAGTCTGAGCCAAGTTCTAAACAATAGAGAGTCAAGCCTCCGTTCAGTTAGTGTGGTCCTGATGTGATGACGTTAGTGTGTGGTCCTGATGTGATGACGCGATGGTCAGTGTTCAGTTAGTGTGGTCCTGATGTTATGACGTTAGTGTGTGGTCCTGATGTGATGACGCGATGGTCAGTGTTCAGTTAGTGTGGTCCTGATGTGATGACGTTAGTGTGTGGTCCTGATGTGATGACGTGAATGGTCAGTGTTCAGTTAGTGTGATCCTGATGTGATGACGTTAGTATGTGGTCCTGATATGATGACACAATGGTCAGTTAGTGTGGTCCTGATGTGATAACGTGATGGTCAATGTTCAGTTAGTGTGATCCTGATGTGATGACGTTAGTGTGTGGTCCTGATATGATGACGTGATGGTCAGTGCTTTAGTGTGGTCCTGATGTGATGATGTGATGGTCAGTGTTCAGTTAGTGTGGTCCTGATGTAATGACGTGATGGTCAGTGTTCAGTTAGTGTGTGGTCCTGATGTGATGACGTGATGGTCAGTTAGTGTGGTCCTGATGTGATGATGCGAACGGTCAGTGTTCAGTTAGTGTGTGGTAATGATGGTAATGACATGAAATGTTCTCAGTGTGTGGTTCTGATGTGATGATGTGAATACTCTCAAAGATTCCAATCTTATTCAGCACAACAAAAGATGTCCACTTAAAATCTTAAAGATTTAATTGACTACAATGTTTTCTGTCAGTATGACACTACAGGACAATAGACTTCCATACATACGATAATGACTAACAACTACCCCAAACAAAGAAAAACAGAAAGAACTTTCTAGAATAACATTTAACAGTTATTGGACAGTCTCCACTACAATGTATCTATGCTCATACTAACTAGTTCGAATAATTGTTTACAGTGTACAGATCATTCTGATGACTTACCTGAATGACTGCATTAAAAAAGCAAGTGTTTCCTAGATTTGTAATTCCTTTAACAGATGGCACACAGCTGCCTTTTCTTCCCTTCTTTATTTCACCTGCTTCACGTTTTTCTTCACAGAGTTTTATGATTCTAGAAAGTGCACCTGTGAAACATACATAAGTTACAGAAAACTTACATTGAGATATGAAATTAAATGTGTCACTTAATAATTTAGATATATCATTTAAGATCAAGTAAGACTGAATCTTTGAATTTAGTGTTCTGAACGACAAGACCACAAACTCAGTATCTTTGGTTTTATATTTTACTGCTATTGAATTGAACTCGTTTTCATGTAGATATCTGTACCTTTACATGGCATTACAGATTAATTTCCTGATGCATTTAAAAGCTTAAAGGGAACTAGGTGAAAACAGGCAGAAAAGACCTTCCTTATAAACACAGTTCCCCACAGGAAAAGAAATGAGTGCCTGAAGACAAGCTATTCTAAGCCTCGGGAAGGAAAAATGAGAAATGAGTTATGAAATTGTTGTTGTGTCAAAGGATACATAAGGGTTCACAATGGTAATGAACACTTGGGTCATGGGAAGTGGACGTAGGGCCATCAGAGATTCAAGCTACAAACAGAGTTTAATTCAGCCTGGGCTATGGACAAACAAACCATTGGCTTCTGGCTGCATGGCACATCAGTCCAAGGTGTACAATTTGAACATCAAAGTAAACAAGAGTAGTAAAATAGATGATAACAGAATGAAGACATATTAGTAATAACTTTTATTATAAGATGAAATGGTGAGAAGAATTTTTTAACTTAAAAACATTTTAATGTGTGTTGGTATTTTGCCTACATGTATGCACTGTACTCAAGCCTGATGCCCGCAAAGGCCAAAGAGGGCATTAGGTGTCTGGGAATGGAGTTAGAGATGGTTCTGAGCCACCATGTGGGTCAGGGAAAGTCAAACCCAGGTCCTCTGAAAGAGCAACAAGTGCTCCTAACGGCTCAGCCATCTCTTAGCTCCACAAGGGAAAATTTTTCTTTCGTTTTGAGACAGGTCTCACTATGTAGTCCTGGCTGTCCTGGAAATCACTCTGTAGAGCAGGCTAGTTTTAAATTCACAGAGATCTGCCCGCCTCTGTCTCCTGAGTACTGGGACTAAAGAAAAGCATCATTACACCATGCTCAGAGGGAAAACTTCTGATGAAAAGCCAACAAAGAGTTAACAGAAGATAGAACCAGGTAGGAAACTACCATCTTACAGTGATGTCATTTGGTAAAATTGGCAACTTTCTATAGGTTTGAAATTTTTTTTTTTTTTTTTTTTTTTTTTCAAGACAGGGTTTCTCTGTGGTTTTGGAGCCTGTCCTGGAACTAGCTCTTGTAGACCAGGCTGGTCTCGAACTCACAAAGATCCACCTGCCTCTGCCTCCCGAGTGCTGGGATTAAAGGCGTGCGCCACCACCGCCGGGCTCTAGGTTTGAAAATTTAAAAGTTAATGGGATCACAGTATACTACAAAAAGTAAAATATCAAGCCTTGTAACTGATAATTCAGATAACTAGTATAGATATGAAAATTGCATTTGATTTTTATTTGTTTTTGAAATAGGGTCTGTATAGCTCTAGAGACAGGATCTATGTAGCTGTGGTTGGCCTAGAACTTGCTAAGTAGATGAGGTGGTTTTGAACTTGCCTGAGCCTCCCTTGGGTTGGAATTAAAGGTATGTAACACCACGCCCAGTTGAAAACTGTATTATTAGTTTGTGTCCAATGACTATGTCAGAATGAAGAAAAGTTTCTAACATTTACAAACTGACATGTCGATCATATCTACGTAATAGATTACTGTGACTCAAAATCATCATACAGGGCCCTGTGAATGTAGCTTACTTCATGGACTGTTTGCCTAGCATAGAGGAAGCCCTAGGCTCATTCCCTATACCACAGAGCACCAGGCTGGAGGCAAATGCTTGTAATTCCAACACTTGGGAAATAGAAGCAGGAAAATCCAGAAATTCAAGGTCATCCTCGACAACACAGCGAGTCTGAGACCAAAGCGGGATTATAAAACCCTGTTGTAAAAAACAAACAAACAAACAAACAAACAAACAAACAAAAACACTTACTCATCCCTTGATGTACCCACAGTAGACCACACTTCTAGGACTCCTAGAACACAAATACTCGTCTTTCAAATACAAATAAAAAGGCTAGATTTTACTAGTGTTGCTGTCTGATCTTGTGGATATTCACTGATAATGGACTCTTATTTATTTTATTCACATATATTAATTTTATATAATGAGTTTTGTTGTGACATTTTCATGTATCTGTTTTTGTTCTCCCCGTCCTCCTCGTCTCGTAACCTTGCTCATCCCTGCGTCCCAGTCAATCCCATTTCTACGTCACGTGTTGTCAGAGGTGCTGTTTGGTGACCCATTTTTCAATGTTCCTTACAAGATCCCAGCTGAGGGATCATTTACAAAAGTGATGGCTACTTACGAGTGGATGTGCCACTACATGTCTCTGGGTCAGGTGTGGTGGCACATGCCTTTAGGTCCAGCACTGTCTCACACAGGACATAGCAGTAATATTCCAATTATAAATCCACCTCTTTACACCCTAAATTCACATCAATGACCCATGTTCAAAGAAAACAACTATAAAAGATAGTCGGTTAAGATTCTTACAGATTTGGGTGTATGCAGCTCTGAACAAATGAATCCTCAAAAGATTTTCCTTTCTTTAACATTCTTAATAAGTGCTGTTCTGTTATGTAACATATCTGAGACGGGGGCTCATGTAGCTCACCCGGGTGGGATCCTCCTGCTTCCCCTCCAGCTTTCAGGATTTCAATTATCAACATGCCAGGTTTTCTTAAGTGTTGGGGACTGAACGCAGGACTCTTACATCCTAGTCAAGCACTCTATCAACTGAACTACATACCAGCCCTGTTCTTTGAACTTTTCACACAAAAAAACAATGGTTGGGAGAAATAAGTTACAGACAGTAACTACACAGAGATAAATAATACAGAAATCCACTTGGAAAAAATAGTCCTAGAAATAAGTAACATTAGATTATTTTCGATATTCGCTTTATGTATCTCTGTACCTCATTCATCCATCACTTTTTAAAACATCTGGGATGACATCCCAAAGTAAACAATGTTCATAAGACCATCTGGACAAAACTGCAGGCAAGAAAAAAAAGCATAAACATATGGAAAACCAGATTCCTCTTCCCTTCAGCAGGAAGGAATGGCAAATGTCAAATCTGGAGACAGCCACGCTTCACTGTGCGATGCTTTGCAGCACCACCTGGCTCTCCATGCACAGCCACCAAATATGGACAGCGCTGCCAGAAAGAACATGCCCAGAGGGCAGCAGCAATAAACACAGTGGATTTCACGGTTAAATAGCCACTTCACACAAGTGGCAAGGGTCTGTCTGCTCACTTTTGCGGTAAGTCTATGAGAAAATAGCCAGGATGTAACAATGCTGTTAGGCTTGGGCGTTAAATACATCAGAGAATTTAACCAGAAAACACAGCAGTATTTTCTGAAAGCTACTTTTTTATTTAAAAAATAAATAAATAAAAAATAGGAAAATTTTTAGAATACAGTCAGTTTATGGAATGCCTACAGTCTTCTAGGTATCATATGAACCACTATTTATATTATATAGAATACTTACGATTTATGACCAGAAAATATAGAGCTGGTACTGAAAGCCTCGAGTTTATAGTGTTATCTCAGCAGAACTTTCAGGACCTACATTTTGCGGATCTATTCACTAATGAACTGTCTGCAGAGATCCAAGATTCTAGTTTAAAATGGGGTGTGTGTGTGTGTCTGAATTAGTCAAATATTAAACACCTAAAGGTATGTGTGTTTTTGCTGCAATGTCTTATTTATGAGCTGTTGGGGCCTGGGCCCCATGTTTCAACCCCTAGGCAAATAGCACGCTAGGAAATGAGCCGTGCCATGGTCCTTCTACCTCCTCTATAAACACAGAACCAAATAGCCTAAAGACTGAACTCTAAGATTTTTTTTGAATGTTTTATAATGAAAATTGCAAATCTGCTCCAAAAAATAATAACTTAAAAGATCATACAAATTTTTTATTACTGTTCATTTTTACCTTGTTTAACCCACAATTAAAACAAATGATACCGATTATTAGAAAGAGTAAGTCTAGTATTTCAAGGTTATTTTATTTTAAAAGCAAATTCTAGCTATACTAGCATATATTCCTTCACATTAACAGAACTATATAGAATGAGAATGCAAAGAACAGACTTCAGCCATTCTAGTTTTCTTATTTGCTTGTTTTGGTTGCTGTGTTGGGTGCTGAACCATATGAGCCCAGGCCTCCTCTAGCAACACGCATGTCTTCACAGAGACAGGGTTTCTCTGTGTGGTGGGCCTGGCTGTCCTGAACTGACAGTAGATCTGAACTTATTGTTCAGAATGGGAGACCTGAAGTTACAGAGATTCGCCTCCTGAGAGCTGGGATTAAAGGCTTGTGCTGCCACAACCCACAGGACAAACCTTCGCTTTTGTTTTGTCCTTCACACTGGGCTTCTCTGTGTAGCCCTGTCTTCTTACAGCTCTTTTAATAATTCCTTACCTTACCTTGGAAGCCTAAAGTCTACATACACAAAGAGTAATTTGAGCAAGCCAGGGGGAGCAAGCCAGTAAGCAACACCCCTCCATGGCCTGTGCAATGGCTCCTGCCTCCAGGATCCTTCCCTGCTTGAATTCCTGCCTCACTACTGTGGGTGATGAACTGTTCTATTGAATTGTGGGTAAAACAAACCCTTCCCTCTGTAAGTTGCTTTTAGTCATGATGTTTTCTCACAGCAACAGTAACCCTAACATAGACAAACTGGTACCAGGATCACGGGGTATGGTTGTGACAGACCTAACCATGTTGCTTTGGGAGGACTGTGGAAGGATTTTGGAAATTTGGACTAGAAAAGCCATTGAGTGTTGAGAGTTCAGTGGGCTGTTCTGTAGGAGCTTGGAACATAAGAGCCTTGAACACAGTTGAAGACCAGACTGGCCTCAAACTCATAGAGATCCGCCTGTCTCTGCATCCCAACCCAATTGCTGGGATTAAAGGCATGCGCCACCACCGCTAGGCTTAGGTCACAGTATTTTAATCCTCAGCTTTGGAACCTAATCACACCATTTAATACCGGTCCATTTTAAAAACAAAAAATATACGGGTTGGGGGATGACATAAAAACACTTTCTAAACTGGATGGTGGTGGTATACACCTTTAATCCCGGCATGTGGGAGGCAGAGATAGGAGGATCTCTGTGAGTCTGAGGTCAGTCTGGTCTACAAGAGCTAGTTTCAGGACAGCTAGGACTGTCTCAAAACAAAACAAAACTTTCTAAAACAAATATACTTCAGGTCTTTGGTACCCCAAGAAGTATTAGTGTAATGAACTCAACATGATATACATGATTTTCTTTAATTCTAATAAAATAGCACTGAGCCAGTACTGACATTTTGAGCTAAATTTCTCTAGAAAGAGCATGGAACTTTCAATCTTCTGTGTAGTTAACAAAAATCAAATCAATATTCTTCAGTATTCCATTAGGAATTCCTGCATTTGGTGTTTGTACAATATTCTAGTGTCTACTGAAGTTTAATGAACTTTTCAGAGTACATGGGTCAGTTTTTAAAAAATTGTAATCAGATTTTAGGTTGAAAGCAAAATGCAGCCACACACCCTGCCCCCGCACACTCAAAATCTCTCCATTACCCACATCCGCCACCAAGATGGTTCATTTGTTAGAAATGATGAAGCTACATTGACACTTGATTATAAGCCAGCATTCATAGCTCACATTAAGTTTCCTCTTGGTGGTGGATACTCCTCTCAGCTGGACAAATACATAATGACAGATAGCCGCCCGTTTCCTGTGGGATAGTCCCTTGGCCCTAAAAGCCCCCTGCGCTTTGTTCCTCCCTCCCAGCAGGCTCTGCCAACTTTATCCCTTCTATTGTTTCCAGGTCTTTGGTTTACCTCTTAACATCGTTCTGGTTGGATCCTGCAAGGATATATTTTGCCACTTTTCAATTTTGTGTTTTATATGACCTTTTCACTCTGCATATGACAAGGGTGAGCTTGCCCCCACCATACACACAAATTCTAACATCAGATGTGAACTCTACACAGCTGTAAGCATTCTTCTGGGAACCTGCACTGGATTCATCTCAATTGCTTAATGCAATTACCTAAACCAGTCATGTAGTACTAATGCTAATTTGCCCATTTCTACAGCTGAAAGAAGTTCTAAGAAAAACTGTTTTTACAATTCCCCTACTTTCAAAGTGAATAATAACTAATTCCTAGTTAATCATCAGCCTTAGAAACATGCACTTATGTAGTCATATGATAAATGTCATCGATAATAGCTGGAATATCCACTTCTACCTGTCTTATATTGAGTCAAATAACCTGTCTAAAATACAACTCTGACCATTCACTTCTCCACTGAAAACAGTGGTTCTTCACTGTCCTAAGGACAGAGTCTTTAAGTAGGAGGCCCTTAAACATCTTCTTCTACTTTGATCTCACCTCTCACCATCTTCAGCGCCACCAAACCCATTCTTTCTACTCTATAGAAACCCTCACCAGCAACCTGTTTCTTCTGCCTCAAACACACACCCTTTCTCTTTTTGCCATACTATAATTAAATAACTTTCCACTCTTGGCTTTCTGCCTGGCTCCCTCAAACATTTTTTAAAAGTGCAAACAGGCAGTGACATCAAAATTGTGAGATTTAGCCAGGCGGTGGTAGTGCACGCCTTTAATCCCAGCACTCAGGAGGCAGAGGCAGGCGGATCTCTGTGAGTTCGAGGCCAGCCTGGTCTACAAAGAGTTCCAGGACAGGCTCCAAAGCTACAGAGAAACCCTGTCTCGAAAAACCAAAAAAAAAAAAAAAAAAAAAAAAAAAATCGTGAGACTCAAAGAGCTCCTTGTCTTTAGAGGTGCATGGGGAACTGGCCTAGATTTCCTCTAAGTAACAATAAAAGTGTTACAAAGGAGGCCTTGCCCAAAACCACAGAGAAACCCTGTCTCGAAAAACCAAAAAAGAAAAGGAGGCCTTGCATAACTGAAGTGCGCTTGCGGAGCCGGTACTGGCTTTCTTCTCGGTGATTATTTTCTTAGGACAAAACTATAAAGTTTTTTTAATATCATACACAAAGAATGACAAGAACTGAGGAACTCTGGGAGCGGGAGGAGGTCCTCCCCAGGGAAGAACACACCAACTGGCTGTCCAGTGCCAAATGGTCAGCCCTGAAAACACACACAAGTATCCTTATATGGCTTCAAAAGGTTGTATTTGGGAATATATATGGTATATACAAATACATATATGCATTCAGTAACAACTCATGAAAGAAAGTAGCCATGAATTTGAAGGGGAGTAGGGAGGGTTTGGAGGGAGAAATGTTGTAACTAATATACAATGTTAAAAACAGACAAAAAAGAAAAAATACCACTCGTTTTCTCCTACCCAAGCACATAACCTTTTGAATTATGAGATGTGGCTTTTTACTGTATAGAGACTTCACAATTATTATTTAATAACTGCATGATCAGAGGTACCATCCTTCCAAGTTCTTCCTTAACAGCCATTCTCACATTTTTTCCCAAAGTATTTTCTTAAAACACATTGAAACTTCATACAGGTGTATGACAGATTTCTTCCAAAAAGCCATGGGATCTCATTCAAAACCAAATCTACTGAGAAACAACGTAGCTGGAACTTTTGGAAACCATGAATTCAAAACTGTCTCATTGTGAATGACTGCTTACTTTCAAACTATCTCCAAGTCCCATTTCCTAGGTGCAACTCAAGGTTCCTGAAACATAACTAAGGATTAGTCTCCCACCACCTCTGGCCACAATCCATCCTTTGAGAGATCAGCGGAAAACTGTGACCATCCATTACCGCTTTCCTTTCGAATGAACACACCTGCTTATGAGCACCTGGAGGGCTCTGAACACCAACTACAACTCCCACTAAAGTCTTGTTATTGTCTTTTAAAAAATTATTTGTCACTAATTTTTTAATATGTATGAGTGCTTTGCTTCATATATGTGCACCACATGAGTGCAGTGCCTGCAGAGGCCAAAAGAAGGCATCAGCTCTCCTGGAACTAGAGTAACAAGATAGTTGTGATCTGTCATATAGGTGCTGGAACCAAACCCAGTTCCTCTGCAGAAGCAGTCAGTGCTCTTCACTGCCGGGCATCCCTCCATTCCTTCCCCATCCTAAGGATCAGATTTGCTACCCATCGGACTCTAAAGTAGCCCAGGAAAAAGCAACCACGTGCTAAGGGTAAAAATGAGGTCACACAGATAGTGACTGACAGGTCTGAATGCCAGGCCCCTGACTCAGAGCTCATGTTCTGCTGTGGTCTGAGTACCACAGTGGTTTGAAGGGGAACGGCCCACACAGGCTCAGATATTTGAACACTTGTTCCCAGTGATTGGCACTGTGGAAGTGAGGCAGAGTCACTGGAGGACGTCTGTCAGCGGGGGTAGGCTTTGAGAGCTCACAGCACGGCCCCACTTCCGTTTCATTCTCTACTTTGAGTCTGCAGTGGAAGATGTGATCTCTGGTTCCTGATCTTGCCAGTCGCGTCAATGCTTCCTTCCCCGTGATGGACTCCTTCCCCTCTGAAACCATAAACCAAGATAAACTCTTTCTTCCCTAAGCTGCTTTTGGTCATGGCATTCTATCACAACATCAGAAAAATAACTATCCAAATGAAACTCTCACCGAACTCTCGAGCACCTGGCTTGTACCCATTCGTGTTGCTATTTGTGATTGGCCAGTAACAGAAACTTTAGTAGGGAAGTAGGCCACTGTGAACATGTCCTTGTGGGCTGTATCTTGCCCTGTTTCCTCCTGACTCACTCCCTCTTTCTTTCTGCTTGCCAGTCACCATGAGGCAGACAACTTTGCTGTGGCACACACTTATACTACAATGATGTTCTGACTCAAAAAAAAAAAAAAGGGGCCAGGTGTTGGAGCTTTGGTGGCATCCACCTTTAATCCCAAGCACTAGGGAGGCAGAGGCAGGCAGACCTCTGTGAGTTCGAGGCCAGCCTGGTCTACAGAACCAGTTCCAGGACAGCCAAAGCTATACAGAGAAACCCTGTCTTGAAAACAAAAAAACTTACAATGATGTTCTGACTCAACATAGGTTCATAGCAATGGAACAAGCTGATTATAGACAAAACCTCTGACATCTTAAGACAATAGGGGAGCAAAATAAATCCTTCCCGTAACTTGCTTCTCTCAGGGTTTTGTTGTTGTTGGTTTGGTTTGGTTTTTCAAGACTGGGTCTCGCTATGTAGGTCTGCCTGTCCTGCCACTCTCTCTCTAGACCAAGCTGACCTCGACCACAGAGATCTGCCTGCCTCTGCCTCCCAAGTTCTGGGATTAAAGGTGTGCGCCACTGCCCAGCTCTCTCGGCTTTTGTCACAGCAGTGAAAAACTAACATAGTCTCTTCCTAATATTCTTCCTGCAATTGAGTATTCAAGATATCTGAATAACTGGATGGCTTTATTCTTAACCTTAGGGAACTTAATTAAGAAATGCAGAAAACCATAGTTTCCTCTTCCCTGCTGGCATCAAATGACTGCATGTGCCCTCACGGCGACAGAGCAAATGCACTGTGCAGTTCTAAGAGACAGCACTTGGGCCGACTTCAGGTGCTGAAGCACTCGAGGTCTTTCGCCACATCACCCTGGTCCCTTGTGTCGGCAGACTTGGAGCCATGACTGGCATACCTGAGAGAAAGTAGGAATCCCACAAATGCCTGTGGAATACGTTAAACAGAGAAGCAATAATATGATTTCTTTGGCTGTCCAGAAGCCTGGGCTTCTACTTCCTCCTCCTCTGGTTTTATCACAACCGCCTCTGCAGAGAGACAGGAAGCTAACAAGGACAACTACATACTGGAACACAATAGGAAACTATGGGGGTTGTGTGGTTGTTGTTGTTTGTTTTTGTCTTGTACAACAACTAAAGGGCTGAGGGTATCGCTTAGTGGTAGACTGTTTTCCTATCCTGTACAAGGCCCTGGGATTAAACCCCAGCCTTTTTATCATAACTATGTTTTCATAAACCCTTTCAGTTGCTGGTGCTACATTCCAAGTAGTTCATTTATTCAAAGGCATCTCAAGAACCAACGAGGTAACTCAGGGGGTAACAGAACATGCTGCCAGGCCTGATGACATAGTCTGGTCCCCAGGATCCACATAAGGAATAGCCAATTTTCACAGGTTTCCCTCTGGCCTCCACACAGGTGCCCTGAAATGTGTACCCATAAATACACTGACTCTCCTCCCTCCATGAGGGTCCCAGAGACTAAACTCAAAAGTATCAGTCTTGGCAGAAAGCACCTTTACCCACTGAGCCATCTTACAGGCCCAAATAAATGTAAACCTTTAAAAATTTAAAAATTGGGGCCAGTGGGTTAAAACAGGTCTCACTGAACATAGCGGACAATGAGGACTACTGAGACCTCAAGAACAATGGCAATGGGTTTTTGATCCTACTGCATGTATTGGCTTTGTGGGAGCCTAGGCAGTTTGGATGCTCACCTTACGATACCTGGATGGAGGAGGGTGGTCCTTGGACTTCCCACAGGGCAGAGAACCCTGATTGCTCTTTGGGCTGACGAGGGAGGGGGACTTGAT